CCAACTTACTGCGCCAACTGTTGACGACTACCTTCTTCTGCTCATTGATACCTCTAATTGCTTGTTTCCTTCGTAAATCTTTCCTCCCACGATGCCCATACGTTTCTATTAGACTCAAGTCCAGGTTGTTTGCTAGCCAAGGCAAAAGTTCAATTTGATGCCGACTAAACCGAGCACGGGTGCTCCGGACGGGGCGTTATCCCGCATGATTCGGGCTTCTGCTGCCGATTCTTACACCAGAAAGGAAGGAAAGCACGTCGCATTACGACTCGATAACCGGAAGAGCTGGGCTTTTTCAGAACAAACAATAAAGACGTTAACAGAAAGAAGTTGCCGCCCATACCATGACCATGGCATGACTGATCCTCCTTTGAAGTTTCGTCTGGAAAAGCGAAACTTATATTTTCAGATNTGCCAGTAGAACATGTTTCCATTTGAGGCATCACTGTTAAACTTTTTTCATAAAAAACAACCTGGAGAGAGAAACATTGAGAGAAAGAAGGGTAAACGACAAGCCATGAAAAGGCATCTCACTCCGGGGTCCGGATGCAATTACTGGCAAAAGCGACCCGGTTGTCGCGATGCTTTTTGGTCATAAGAATGCCTTCCTCATTCTCTATCAGCGATAAACTCAGACTTTTCTATCACGATTCTAACAGTAATCATTGGGACATTGATTTTCGGAGAGGGCTTGATTTCTGTACTTCGTCGTATTGGACGCTTCTCTCAAAATCGTTCGCTTTCGCCTATATCCCTCCGAAAGTAACGAAAGACGTCCGCCCCGTACTTTTTTTGGTTCCATACTGGCTAGGATTCCTTACGAAATTGTCGACAAATGAGGGGCATTAGCCCAAACCTCGAGCGATTTTGCGATTTGACAACCCTGTCCCTTTTTTGCATGAATTTGACCTTGACCAAAGTCGGACAGCAACTTTTCTTTACAAACTACCTAAAATTGGAAAACTTTAAACAAACTAAGCAATTGGATGAGGAGAAAATGGAAACCTACGGGAAAACATGAGGTGGCTTTATCATTTTGTAATGTGTAGGCAAAGCGACTTTTTCCGAGAAAAAAGGGGAAATTGTCCATGTTACTGAGATGGAACTCGTTGTTGGTCTACAAGTTACGGTACGAGTAGTGCACAATTCCCATATTATCCTCTTTCTGTAGTGCTCTGGAACGAAATGAAAGTGGTGAGTTTTGGTGAATTTCATGGGTGGCTTTGTGATTATACAAAGCAGTGTATGTCGCTGTAGCATGATGTTGCTGACCTTCGAAAGCCATGAGGGCCTCGAGATGGCTTCGAAACAGAACATTAAGATTAGCTGCTCAGATAATATAGTTAGCCAATAAGAAAAGGAAGAGATTCCAAGAATCCTTACCATTATATACAGGGTGCGCCATAAATATGGTAACGACTTAATTTCCTTGTTTAGAGAGTTTCTCCAAAACTGTACCTCTCCTTATATTCATGATACGGCTTAGTCCACATATCTACTTTGGTACTCTCAACTCGTCAGATTTCGAAAAACGGTGGAGCCTTGCAGAGATCCAGCAACCGTTCCGTTTTTGCGCGCATTTGGTGAATCCTTTCCCGGGATTGTTCCTCGTTTCAACATTTCCCACACGACAGTCTCTTGAATCGCGTAGCGTAGACAGGTCAAAAGCAAACCTCGAAATGATTGTCTTGTCTCTTATACGACCCTTTTTCCGAATACAATTTCTTGGGAAGTAGTATGATGCAGAACGTGTAGAAATACAAGAAATATGACTGCTGATTTGTTTGTATGTTCTACTCCGATGAAAATAGTCTACCCTGAGTAGATACAATTGTATCCAAATAGGATTCGAAAGCCTTATAAGCATTCTAACGAGAAGAAGTTGGAGAGAAAGAACATTTGCTGTGTGCTACATGCGCGCGGCACGCGCTTCGACAGACTTTTTCCTCACTGAAGAGTGTTTAGCGTGAAAGAAATGTTGAAATTTCAGAGTAAACGTATATTTGACACTACAAGTGCTGAAGCCGATGAGAAGAGTCAGATCGCCTCTAATAGCCGTTTTCTCTCTTTTATGATAGTTTGGGCTGGAATCCCTACAATCACAGCAATATCGCAAATTTTGCTCTAGAAAAGTACAAAACTTAATCCGAACCTCTTGAGAAGGGTTTTTTTGGAAGGATGCAGCTGAGGGTCAAAGATTTTGGGGGGGGGGGGNAACTGTGACGCACTTGCTCACGAATCGGAAAAGAGCAAGACTGGTGCTGAGGAAATGTACGCGACTTTATCCCAGCTTGCAATCCTTCTACGAATTTCCCGGACCACCATGTGATGGGTCGCCGGATATAGTCCATGCTGGAGAGGAAAGCCTGCAGTTCAAAACGCACCACTGTTGCTGCTCCAAACAATTCAAAAAGCCCGGGCTGAAATTTTTCAAGAAGCTCTGCGTGCCACTGTCGATGAGTAGCAGGAGCATCTTTGGGCTATAATGAGTACAGGAATTGGTAATATGTATAAGATGACGGTGTGTTCGTTTTCTAGATGTGATGCACAGTAAATAATTGACAAAAATTGATCATGTATCAATATGAACTACGGTTTCNTACGACTTGAGAACTGTGACGCACTTGCTCACGAATCGGAAAAGAGCAAGACTGGTGCTGAGGAAATGTACGCGACTTTATCCCAGCTTGCAATCCTTCTACGAATTTCCCGGACCACCATGTGATGGGTCGCCGGATATAGTCCATGCTGGAGAGGAAAGCCTGCAGTTCAAAACGCACCACTGTTGCTGCTCCAAACAATTCAAAAAGCCCGGGCTGAAATTTTTCAAGAAGCTCTGCGTGCCACTGTCGATGAGTAGCAGGAGCATCTTTGGGCTATAATTAGTACAGGAATTGGTAATATGTATAAGATGACGGTGTGTTCGTTTTCTCGATGTGATGCACAGTAAATAATTCACAAAAATTGATCATGTATCAATATGAACTACGGTTTCTGGAGGCCAATATTTTTGTTACCATATTTATGGCGCACCCTGTATAAACCACAAATGTCCGTCGATTTGTTTGTCTGTTTGTAGCCATTTTTATACCGCTGTAAATCGAATTGGAACAGCTAAGCCAGGTTGGAACAATTGGTGAATGAGCCGAACTACACGAGAACACGCGACCCAGGCTGGGATCTGCCCATCGAGGGCGGGGCGTGCGCGAGGACCGTAGCTCACCGGAAATGTCCAACTCCCGTTCTCCTGCGCCTAGAATGTTCAAATTTGAAGGGGTACAGGCTGCAATATGGGGACACCAATAGTGCGTGACAGGTGGAGACTCTGCTCACTGGTAAGATAGAAAGAAAGCGAAAGTCAGCATTACTGGTACAGCAGGCTAACTACGAATAAAAGTCGCTCTACTTTCTGAGTACTACATTTGTTCTCTTTATGTTAATCCATTGCGATATCGGCCAGCCTGACCGATAAGAAAGATCGGCACTATTTACCCTTTACTGCCCTACTTTGTCGAGAATGGGCTAAATTCCATCGAATTTTTTTCAGGAGGATGAAACCTACTAAAAACTTCCCTAAAGGGGTAATTTGACCCGTGGAACGCGAATATCGCATTCATTCGTCGTGACCCAGCTACTTTTGGCGCCGGCGCCTGTGGTAAGAGCGCTAGGCATCTTCATAACGAGTGGATGCGATATTCGTTATCTACGGGTCAAATTACTCCTCTGGGCAAGTTTCTAGACGGTTTCATCTTCTTGAAAAAAATTCGTTAGAAATCCAGCCCATTCTCGACAAAGTGGGGCAGTAAAGGGTAAATAGTGCCGAAAGATCGTCATGTATCACTGGAAATTTGCAATAGAAGCTATAGATTCAGTCAGGATTAAGTAGAGCAGCACCTACTTATGTAGTTAACATAGTTACCATTACCTACGCACTAAACTGCACCGTAGTTCTTATCAGCCATAGTTGGCATACTAGAAAAAATAGAATTCGAAAGTCGCACACCGTTTGGGAATAAATCCTCGTAACGAACCATATTCACTCAATCACTCCAATCAGTCAATGAAAAAAAAGTGCATCAGAGCTATGTTATGACGTCGCTTGTGCCAATCTCACTTTCATTTTATACGCGTACTCCACTAGCGCAATCTCTACAAACCCCAGCATGTGCCCATACATCGATTCTTCGATCCACTTAAATCACATCAGGTACTATGGCGAACTCGGTAGCCCGACTCTTTTGTAGACACGCTATCGAGCAACAATGAAAAGGAATGCTTCCGTGCTCGCTTTCTGATGAGCGGGCAAGGCTGAAAAGCATTACCTTCAGTACAGGACTAATAAAATTATGGTTTGAATAAAGAAAGGGATGATGGGAGCAAGTAATCTTTCACAACAAAATGATGACGATCAATCCCAAAACATGAAAGACTCTGACAGGCACGGTCACGCCAGATTTACTATACCCGCCTTCGATGTAGCCCCTTATGTGTCCCCTTACGGTGCTGAACACTTCAATACACATGAGCTGCTCTTCAGGACTACTTGACTTGGACTCACCTTTACCAGGTCGCTGCCACAAAAACGTGGACTTATTGTTAGAGTTTAGGAATGTTCATTCTATTTATGCCAAAGTCTATGATTAGGGCACGAGATGACTGCATAGGCGATAACACCTTATGAGAAAATGAACCTACTGAAGGAAAAATGTCATGTGATGAAGATCTAACACAAACCGTAAACTCGGCTGCGTTACTTATGTAACAACTTGATAAAATCGTCTGAACGGATTACCCGCATGCAAAGGATGTTATAATTTTCTACTCGACCAGGTTCGCAAATTACAGAACTTGAATAACAGAGGACCTAGTCCACGAAAATTTTCAGTGACAACCATGTGAAAGTTGAATGCCAACAGAATTTTACTTTGCATCAAAACCTTTCATCAGTACCCCTATACCACTTGTTTAGTGTAAATGAACCAACAAAAGTGAGAACATATTTAATCAATAAGAGCGTAGTGTTCATCATCAATGGTGTTGTAGATATGGCCTTCATTAACTAAAAACTGGAGATCCTTTCGCAGTGAATCCATATTTGCTGCACCAATGGCCTGAAATCAGGTAAGGCTTGAGAAAGTCAAGGCACTAAAACAAATGTGGTATAACCAACCGATTTTATGTCGCCTTCTGACAGCCCAACTGCTTCGTAATTATCTTTTTCGCGGTTGAGAAGATCCATTATCTAATAATGCAATGGTCAATGGCAAAACATCAAGAAATAAGAAAAACAATGCACATATCGAGAAACTGTTTACTCTTTACTAATTGAACGACATCACAGTGAAATGAAAACATTCCCAACATTAATCCCGTCGTGGTTTCATCCAAAGGTTATGCGCACTTAAATACAAAGAGTCGATAATCATCGAATTCTATGCGCGGAACCCAACCTAATAGCATTTCTGTTTACCCTCTCTAATATAATAGCTACCATTCCATAAACCCCACAACCAGGCACATCTTAAGTTCCTCAAATCAAAATCTCACTCAGGCAAACTTGTCTATGAGGGCAACTACACTATGCCCTGCCCGCTAGAGCCAAAGAAGGTTGAGGAGCCCGTTTTGCAGGCCTGAAATGGTGCCAGGAAAGCATGGCGATGAAGTTTCCAGACTGAAGCTAAGGAGGGGGAGCGCATCAGAGTGGGTTAGTGAGTTCTCGCGAAAAGTTGGTCGCAAGTTAAGACTATCCTCACTTGCGAGATCCTCGGAAATTGAATGGCAAAGGCATGTTCAAGAGTAAGTTCATAAAACTTGTTTTTGTTCCCATTTTCTCGGCCTCAGTAATCAAATATGTCAGTCAGTATATAAAGCATTTCTAAATATACTCCCAGTGAGAGCGATTATATCAGAGCAGAATCTTCTTTGTCAGTGCTCACGATCTCCAACTTAGACATTAGCGCGCACGAAGAAATCAAAAACGCGACCAGCGACAACTTCTGCTAGCATCCTGGAGCAGCAACAAGCACAAACAGCACTTCTATTCCATTATGCGCAACCGAAACAACAAAAATTCAATTTTTCATTGTTTCCAACACCGAGTTTGAGATGTGGACGGATATGGGCAAACCAGGTGCGATGTGTTGCAGTTTCATAACAAAAGGGGCAGATGAGTGCACTGTCGTAATTGAAAGCACAACTGTAACAACATTCCGCTGTGTTAATTTCAAAGCTTGCTCTTGGTAACCTGTAGAGGTAGTGATCCTTTTACACGACTTTTTTCAGGCCAGTGAACTTCGCAAAAGGATGCTTGCGCGATAATCAGTCCCGCATACCACCAAATAAATAAACTTGGCCTTGATTATTATGGCATAGGACTCAGCACACAACGCTAGAAAATATTCCAAGGTTGCATCCACTTACTCCCGATGTCAGTGGACTTACTGAAGAAATTTAGAAGTGAGTAAAGTAAAATTAAGTTACTGCTTACTTTTCCTCTTTGTCCTTCCAGATTATGACCGCGTGAGGACGCAGCACCTGATGTGGACCCATATATTCGGTTTGGCTGTGTTCCAAAAACATTCATAACCTTAAACACGATTTTAAATCATAGGAAGTGATTCATATTGTAACTGTTGTAAAAATTGTATGCAAAGCATTAAGGCTTAATATCATGAAATGCCAAATAAAATGTGACCTACCTCCCCGACGTTCGAAGTTGAGCTTACATCCGCAGGAGGGCCAGCAGCACACCCAACAAGATTCTGACCCAGGCCAGACCGAAGGATAGATGGCACGTTCTGAAAACACCATATTAACTTGTAAATTAGAGAGAAGAACATTGTAAGCCACACCTTTCCGAAGTATAATTTCGCAATCCTTGCTTCAAGTTTGAAGGCACGGTATTCCTTGTCATCAATAACTTCTTTGATACTGTACGACATGATACCTGGACCATTGGTTTGAAAGTAATGAAAGAAATTTCCGTGGGTCATTCTTTTTGCAGTTTGGCTTTATAACAATAACGTAAGTTGGCCTCTACCAGAAACCGACTATTGCATCAAACCGCCACTTTAATGGCTGTAAAATAGTCCCATAATTACAACTTAGAAACTTCCCTATGTCTAGTACAATAGTTATTTGGGAACGGACTTAGTTATGATCTGGTACACTTACCATGTCTGTCAGACAAGGAGCGCAATTTCCCAACAACCATGACCTTGACACCCTCCACAAACGTTGTTGAAGACGAATCAGAATCCGACACCTGAATATCCTAATCGTATTCGTAAAGTCTTCTTGTATACTAACTTCTAATAGTTACCCCGTTATAAGTAAGAATCTCAAACTCCTTATCCATATTCTCTGGATCACCTAGAATATGATTCGATGTGTTTTCCAGCTCCGCGACCGACTTCACTATTCCCATTGTCAGGACCTGAATAGTAGGTACACATATTATCTATCAAAGTCACTGGCCAAAAAAGAATCAATTTTTTCCCTTTTACCGACTTCTTGACAAGCACAACTTGTGATCATTCCCGTTTCCATCGTCTAGGACTGAAGACCAAAAACTTCTCAAGAAGTTTTTAAAACTAGCGAAATGCTGAACGCATCCTCTACGCGTTTCGGGCCTCCGACAACACAGCGCCATCCGAAATTTTGTTTCATCACCCCTCTTTGATCCTAATTCTTCGCTCTCTAGTATTAATCCCACGCAGTCGCAAAGTCCGCTGTTCTTAGTGCCTGCTCCTAGTTCTAAAATCCTAATTACCGAAATAATGGGGAGCTCATACTCAAGACCTCAACCCTGAAAGTGTCAGTTTCTTCCGTTTGCAAGTAATGCCACTGTCACTAAACAGAGCCTCCATGATTCCTTTCCAAAGCTTTACTCCTAACTAACTTTACCCTCACCCGTGCACTTTAAATTCCACCGAAGGGCACTTATCAGGACTGTCAGGTGGGGTATAAGAACGTCACCGTAGCTTGTGAGGCTGCAGTTTGCGTCATCTTGGAGTCACAAACAGTGCCATGTATGGAGAACGTGGTCTTCATGCAATGCAATTAAGATTTAAACGATGCGAACCCACTCGGTCCTAATAACAAAAAAAAATAAATAACAAGTTGCAAGGAGACAATCCCTTGATCCCTTTCAACAAAAGGAAAAAGACGTTCGTGTTTAAACATATGTTTACCGTGCTGAACGGGAAATCTCCAAGCTCGTACTTCTCTTCAGCGTTCGCAGAATCGTGAAGATCGCTAATAGTGACGGGGACCGGCAACCTTTCAGCCACTTTCATTGACAGAGCTTCTTTCGGTGCGGCAGTAGCAAACGAAACATCGCCGGCCCATCCTCCACCATCAGCAACGGAGAAGCTTTCATTCCATGCCATGTCTGATTTTAAGACTAATACACATAAAATGGACTTGTAGTTTTTCTTGAGTTCAGAGTCTTTCCAACACAATATGCTATAACACTGAGGGATAACACAGCAGCCCCGAGTAAAGTATTCGAAATCAGGTAGTTCATGGTAGCGAACAATCACATTGAAACACAGGAGCGATTGCACTTGGTAACTATTTCGAAAAGTCCCAGAAAACCAATAGGACTACTTGGTTTGAACTGATAAATGGAGAGAGGAAAGCGAAAAATGGGCGAGTGTAATGTAGAAGATCGGCAAGGGTCATCTCTAATTCACATACAATAAACTTCAAGAGAGGAAAGACTTTATCTTGCAAGCAACGCGAACCGAGCAAGTGCATAGTCTTCAAATGATAAGGCTCATGCATGAAATCCATGCTTTTTCGCAATTCGTTGCTCCTTTTGGAAATTTAAGCAACAATAAGTCAACCCAAGCATAAGTTATAGTGATCGNNNAAACGACAAAACGCAAAAGTTACTATCCCAAATCGCGTTTAATTTTCCCGCGCGTGGACATTTGAATGCGGCTCAATAGAGCGCGCCAGTGCACCGGCCTAGTTGCTCACTTCTCCATTTTCACCCCCAGAATTTCCACTTCATAATGGAACGCTGCAGCTACCTAGACTTTTAGGTAGTTGAGACTTTTACTATTCATCGCCTAAATGACAGCTTATTCGTCTGTTCTCTACCATAGTAGTAACTTCGATACATCCTATTCCACTTTTCTTACCTTCCTTCCTCTGTTCTCTCCTAGTACTTCTGCAGCAATTTTATCGTTGTGAAGGAATTTAACTTCAAAAAAAGATAGAAAATAAAAAATCAAAAATCTAATGGGAGTAGTTCAGCCAGCACATGAAACTACATCAGGGTCGTGTGGGCGCATGCTCACAACACCAGGCTTGAATGTCAAGAGGAAGACTATAACAGCTCACTCATCAGCAGTGTTTTCCTTGTAAGTGAGCAGGTCACTGTAAAACCACCAGCAGAAGTGGATCAGGAGCCGAATAATGGAAAGCAAGAAACTTTCAACTGCTAGGCCGCTGCAATACCGGCGCGCTGTATTGAGACGCATTCAAGTGCCCAAAATTATACAAGAGGCAGAACCTTCCACTAATAAAACGCGATCGCTGTTCCATCGCTTGAGAACAGCCCTGCAACCGCATATATAGAGAGC